ATCCCATCATATTTCACACATGTGAGAGGAGGAGGAGGAGATACCAAACTTTTGCATACCGTAATGGTGCAAACCAGAACAAGGACCGACCTCCCTCGTACAAGATAGTGCAGCGGAATGCTAGGATGCCAATGATCAACCCAATCAATGTTGCAACGTAGACTAAACATACATCATCATCATTACAAGGTGTGAAGGGGTCTGGCGCTCACGCAGGAAGAATGTGCCAGCCCCAAACATCCATAGACCAAAAGGAGGGGGATTAGACGAAGATGAGGGAGAAGATGGGAATGTCGTCACACAAGTGTCCCTGGTATCGATCCCAAATAGTCCCTCGTCAATGTCTCGATCCCAAAGTCGAGTTTGTATCCCAATGTCGTCAACATCCCCAAAGTCACCAACCTCTCTCTCGCTCGTAGTCTGTTGATGACGAGAAGTCATATAGCGAGAGGGTGAGGAAGAGATGGTGGACGGAGAGGAGGAAGAAGAAGAATTCTCTCTCTCTCTCTCTATGTGTCATGTGCCAGGTACTAACCTCTGAAGATGGCGCTGTGTCGCAGGTACCTTGAAGGCGAAGCTGGAGATATGGCCTCCGCCAAATCTCTCTCTCTCCAGTGCTACTCTAGCTCCTACTAGCGCCCAGCGCTGAAGACTACTGCTAACGCTACTATTACTACTGCAGCGCTCCTCCAAAGTGTTGCTGCCAAATCCTGAAGACTACCTCCTGCGTCCTGAACTGCACGTGAAGTGCCTGGGAAGTCCCCTCTAAACCACCTGCAGCCTGCAGGGCGGGCCAGTCTTATATAGTGTTGGCCCGTCCAAGAGGCTGCTCTTGTCAATGCCAAAACGTGCCAGACCCTGGTGTTGAAGTTCAACAAAGGTTTAGAATGATTACAGAAACTGGAACCAAAGATTAGAAGAAGATGCCTTGAGCATTAATATCGTGGCGTACAACATCTTCCTCCCCACACTCCATAACTCATAGTTACGGAATCACCCGTACTCCGTAGTTACGAAACTCAATCCTTCCACTCAATACACCACTCAGATTGAGGCTTCATACTGCGTCACTACAACTTAAATAGTCTCAACCTACACAGTACCTAGAGTTTTTTCCACACCCATACCTTCAAAAAAACAAATTTAGGCCTACTGGCAGCGGGACTCCGCAGAGGCATTTCGCGGATAGCTGCACGAGGTCGGATCCTCGATCCGATACTTACTCAAAAAAGACCGGTCACCGTGTGAGGTGTACGCCTGATACTTGCAAGAAACCCAGATTCCTGAGAAAAGTTGAAGGCCTTACGGCGACTAGTTCCACTTTCTGCAGAGGCACTAAAAAACAGATGTACGAGATCGGATCCTCGGTCCGATACTTGTGGAAAAACCCAGTCCTCTGCACATCGGCACACGGGAGTTCTGATAGATGCTGGTTCCGGTTGGCACCTGCTTGCGGCGTGATTTCCGAGAGATCTGAAGATACTGCCTGCGGACTCAGATTGCAGTGTCATGTGGCTTTGTCCTGTATCCAACAATGCTTTTTACAAGCTCCTGTATCCGGTCGCAGAACGGGTTCTCGTTCCGACGCTGCATCCATCTTAAACCCGCCAAAATAATATTGTGTCCATATTCGAGCTTCTTCAATTCGACAGCCAGAGTAAGCACTCCCAGATAGACCGTCCCCATGTCGTTACACTTTTCTGAGATCCGGAGGATGGTGTTTGCCACGGTCGCGAACTTGCTCGTTTTGGGGCCAAATGAGGCAGGGTTTTTATATGTCTGAAAACGCAAAGGTCCTGGTCCCCAGATCGAATCCCGGTTTTTGAATTTGTGAGACACCAGCACTGTCTTATCCAGTTCGGCTACTATCATTCTTGTTTTCAAAAAATAAAGCACCTCCAATCCCGCATCGGTCCGTTTCGGGCTTAGTTCCTTAGGGTAGCATTGCAAGATTTTATCCTGGCAATTGTTGGCTTGTTCGTTTCCACCAGGGTCATCTTTCTCAAAAAATGAGAAGAGCGGCAGGGTCATCTTTCTCAAAAAATGAGAAGAGCAGCAAATCGTCAATGTATCTCTTTCCTGTGATAAACTTTGCGTCCACACCGAGTGACGAAATAAAGTTATACTCAGAGTACATACACATGACACAGGCTAACAAGGGACTAGCTCTTCCTCCCATGGGTATTCCATTTCTTTGGCGAAGGATTACGTTGGTGACCAAAAACACCGTATGCTTCAGTTGGAACTGAGCCAGAGTGATTAATTTGGTAAGCCGGATAGACCTCCATCCAGCTTTACCGTTGGATTTGCCCGTGGTTACCATTTTCTTCTGAGTGTTAAGTCTAATTCACCGCACACCTTTCTGCAGGAACCATTCAATTATCCACTTCACGACACGATCGATTACCTCATGAGGAAGTTGGGTAAACATTTCCTTAATGTCATAGGTATGAGCTACTACACCACATTTAGATAAAAAACCATTTCTATTATTAACCTTGGTTATCTCATGCCGAAGGTCTCCCATCGTTCTGAGATTGAAATGAGGAACTTTGATTTTTTTTATCAATGAGTTGAGTGCTAAGGACAGGACACCAAATGCTGCACGAAAAGGGCTTAGGTATGAAGGGACAATAGGTCTTATTTTTTCTTTGTCCTTTTCTTTGGCCATGATATAGGCGTGTTGCAGTTCTCCACGTTTGTCCCATCATGTAATTTTTCCCAACTCCAGATGATTGTATTCGATGCAAATTTCCAGTAGTAGCGTGCCTTTCTCATATTTTTCCTTTTTATAATTCTCATTATCCAAAAACATTGTATTAAGTCTCATTTCGTACCGCTTTGGGCACTCGATCCAAGTCTCGCTGGTGTTTCGATCCATCGGGGCCATAACCAACCCGGCAAACGCTTGTTTCACCCCAAATACATACTCGCTCAACACACATCTTGGTGGCACTGCTTCCCCTTTTTTTGTAACAGTTTCATAGGTTATTCGTAGCTGGCCGGTTGCTACCCCGTTTTTTGGAATAGCTTCAAGGGCTTCATTGCAGGCCCGATTCAGGCCATCTCGTGATGCAATGGTTCTAGGAAACGGAATATTTTTTGCATTGAATAGGAATGGGTCAATTCCTTCGACTTCGCTAATCTAACCGCGACATGCCCCTTGATTTTGGGTAGGTTGAAGTTTTCGCACACACACTCAAAGGTGCTGCATTGTGCGAAAAGCTTTTGATTATGCAGGATGTCTCCAACTGATTTGGCCTTCAGCTAGACAACTCGAGCTTTCCTCGCATACAGGTCAGCTAGCGGGGCCGGTTGGACATTCCCCACAATCCAATCCCACAAACAATACTCCACTTTCTTTTTATCAACGGTGGTACAAAAAGGAATTTTAGCAACAATTTTGGCCCGAGGGTTTATACCAAATTTCTTTTGACACACATTTGTTAAGATACCACGAACTATCTGCCTAACTCCAATAGTTCGATGAGGCTTAGTTTAACCAGTTCTTTTCGTTTCCAAGGGGCTCGGAGGAGCGCAATAACCTCAACTTTTTTTATGTCCGTTTTCGTCTGCGTTCGGATCAGCTGAGTAATTGTCCATTCCCCTCCTCTCTCAATAATCAGTTTGGCATTCTTCAATAAGAAGTTCTTCCTTTCAACTTTTATCTTGCTATGTCCGTACAACAGAGACACTAGTCGCCAAACTTTCATCCACCGTCCGCCTGCGTTGTTGTTCAAGGTTACCGATTTTGTTTCCTTATGTTTCGACAAAACTTTTTGAACACGAAGCAAATCTGGTTCATTTTTTACATTCACACATGGGCATGAAAACGAAAGTGGTTCTAGTATTTTTGCCACGGGTACGGGATCCTGACGCCGTCTTCCGTGAGATCGTCGCGGGTTCCGGTGTTTCACAATTCCACTAGCATTCAGTCCTGGGTTCAGGCTTTTAATAATGTTTGTTCCATACATTCAATTTCAGATTCATTCCCAAACCAAATCGGTATGGAGATGTAAGAGTCAACACCAGTTTTTCGTAACCAGGAGTGAATTTTCTGTTTGCTGTTACCTTTAACAGCACGGCAGTGTTCTGCCCAGAGCTCGCAGAGTGATCTAGCGGTCTTTCCCACGTACACGAGTTTGTGATTAACCGACATCAGTGCGTATACACAACTGTGCGCATTAATCAGATTGCTCCATTCAACATAAGGTAGACGTAACCAGAATCGGACATACGCTTGCCCCCAACGCACATCATACCTCAAACAGGCTAGGATAGTCAGAAGGACTTGAACACGCTCAAATAGGTTCCGCAGCATAGGATCAACCCCTCTTTTTGCTCGATTATTCGAGTAACAACTCGTCTAATCGATTTGATGCTACCCAGACTTAGTTTCCCTTTACTGCATCACAGTCGCCTTCAGTGCCATCTTGGCTCTTTTCGACAAGAGCCTCCTTCCTGCAAGTCCTTCCTCCTTCGCATGTTCCCTGGTCTCCTTTCAGAGAGTCGATGTATTCCTGCAAGTCCTATCGTGCGAGTTCCCATACAGCGACATCTTTCTTGAAGTACTTTACATTGCGTTCTCTACACAGATCTTGCACGCGTGATACTCAACTCGAATCTTCATGTATGTTGCGAAGCCATCCTCATCTGGATCTTCTTAGTCTCCTTCAACTTGGACGTTCTGCACTATGTCGACGTCTTTTCAGGATCGTCTTCTTCTTCTAGTCCTGGATGCTCTGGTTCAACCGCCTTTTCTTTCCTCCCTTGGTCGGCTCTACTAGGTTCAACTACCTTTGCTTTCCCTTTCGGGTCAGGTAGACCACTCATGAGTGCAGCAAGCATCCGCTTAATGTCGGATAGCTCGCTGTTCGTGCTTTCCAACTTCGACTGGAGATTCTGTTTTGCACCGGACGGCCCCTCATCGTTTGAGAGCTCAATGCGCTTAGGCTTGGTCTTTGAACTTCCCCTGGATCTTGGTTTGGCGCGTGCCGCAGATGGAGAGTTTTCGACAGGAGTGCGAGCGACGCTTCTCTTCCGCTTCTCGTTGCTGGAGAGCTCCTTGTTGTCCCTGCCTCCTTGTACTTCTCTGCGAAGACGTTCAAGTTCGTCGCGCTCGGCATCATCCAATTTCGACTTCGTGTCAACGTCCTCCAGCTTCACATTGATGAGCTTAAGGGAATCGCTCAGCGTCGAAGTAACCCATGCTTTCATATCTTCGCTCGTTTCATTCCTCTCGTGCGAACGGGCATCGACTCTACTCCCTTCGTCGAGAAGTTCCACGACACGGCTTCCACTACGTTTAGCACCACCGTTCTTCTCAGCTCCAATTTTCTTCTTGGCTTCTTCAATCGCCTTGTTGGATTTGATGCCTTCAAGGATCTCCATGTATTCCTTGGTGAAATACGCCCGATTTCCCGGGCCAGGGAAATTATTCGCAGCTGGACCTTTCCCCCCACCGCTGGATGACGAGCTTCCCAAATGCCCGCCATGGTTATGGAAGTCTGGATGCCCCTGTTGAGCAATTGGAGGCTGTTGCACCATTGGCATTTGAACCGGCACTTGAACAGGCACTTGAGCTTTGGTGCTAGGGCCGTGGGCGCAGATAGCGATTGCCCCATCCACGGTGCACTAGTCTGCCATGGGCCTTGCTGCTGCTGAGGTGGCATGCACGGTTGCGCACTCCATTGGTTCGGTACTGGTTGATACTGAATCGGCACAACACGCGGAGCAGATGCCGCCGGAGTAGAAGGTACTTGTCCACCAGCGTAGTAGTGAGGCGGAGCGCCCGGGGCCATCGGACTCACGGTTGGAGCTGGTGTGGCTGAGTACGGGATGCTCGACGCAGGCTGGTTCTGCGCATAGTTGCTGCTGCTACCACCCTCCATCCATAACCGACCACAATTCGACCACTTACCACGTCGATTCCCGGCCTTCCCACCTCTGCTCCTTGAGTACATGCGCCCGGTGACGAAAGAGAGGGCACACAGGCTTACTCCAATTCCTATCGCTACTTCAATCACCCGAGGGTGACTGGTCGTCTCCACAGAAGCGGATGCCTTTATCACCATCCCCTGGTGCATGCCACGGAGAACTCTAACCTTGGCGTGATCCTCCCGTTATCGGTGGCCAGCGAGGCTACAAATCAGGCTTCTACTTCCATCACTCAAAACCGATGCGTGAGGAAAAAGCACGGAACAAATAATAATAAGATAAAGAATAAAGAATAAAGAATAAAGAATAAAGAATAAAGAATCCCAATACTACCAATACAAAAAAGAGATCGAGCACGACCGCTCGAGTATTTCAAAGTAAATCGAACACTTCGAAAACTAGGAATGATACACAAATGATAAATGATAAATGCAGCACCAAATGGTGGGCTCAACCACTGATAAGCTTTAAACCAATGCTGAGCAAACAATGATGAACGAAAACAATGATGAGCACACACAACCACAAACTGAGAAACAAAGCGCGAATCAACGCACGAATCCACCGAGTATACTCGGAGAATACGGCACCTCAGCCTCGTTCCCAAGCCACGACAAGGTCGACATTGAGGCTCTGGTCCATGAGAATGATTACACAAATTGGAACCAAAGATTAGAAGAAGATGCCTTGAGCATTAATATTGTGGCGTACAACATCTTCCTCCCCACACTCCATAACTCGTAGTTACAAAATCACCCGTACTCCGTAGTTACGGAACTCAATCCTTTTACTCAATACACCGCTCACATTGAGGCTTCCTACTGCGGCAATATCAACTTAAATAATCTCAACCTACACAGTACCTAGAGTTTTTTCCACACCCATACCTTCAAAAAAAAAAATTTAGGCCTACGGGCAGCGGGACTCCGCAGAGGCATTTCACGGATAGCTGCACGAGGTCGGATCCTCGGTCCAGTACTTACTCAAAAAAGACCGATCACCGTGTGAGGTGTACTGATACTTGCAAGAAACCCAGATTCCTGAGAAAATTTGAAGGCCTTCCGACAGCTAGTTCCACTTTCTGCAGAGGCACTAAGAAACAGATGTACGAGGTCGGATCCTCGGTCCGATACTTATGGAAAGAACCAGTCCTCTGCACATCGGCACGTGGGAGTTCTGATAGATGCTGGTTTCGGTTGGCACCTGCTTGCGGCGTGATTTCCGAGAGATCTGAAGATATTGCCTGCGGACTCAGATTGCAGTGTCATGTGGCTTTGTCCTGTATCAAACAATGCTTTTTACAATCTCCTGTATCCGGTCCCAAAACGGGTTCTCTTTCCGACGCTGCATCCATCTTAAACCCGCCAAAATAATATTGTGTCCATATTCGAGCTTCTTCAGTTTGACAGCCAGTGTAAGCACTCCCGGACAGATCGTCCCCATGTCGTTACAGTTGTCTGAGATCCGGAGGATGGTGTTTGCCACGGTGGTGAACTTGCTCGTTTTGGGGCCAAATGAGGCAGGGTTTTTATATGTCTGAAAACGCAAAGGTCCTGGTCCCCAGATCGAATCCCGGTTTTTGAATTTGTGAGACACCAGCACTGTCTTATCTAGTTCGGCTACTATCATTCTTGTTTCCAAAAAATCAAGCACCCCCAATCCCGCATCAGTCCGTTCCAGGCTTAGTTCCTTAGGGTAGCATTGCAAGATTTTATCCAGGCGATTGTTGGCTTTTTTGTTTCCACCAAGGTCATCTTTCTCAAAAAATGAGAAGAACAACAAATCGTCAATGTATCTCTTTCCTGTGATAAACTTTGCGCCCACACCGAGTGACCTGTGTTAAATAGGCCCAAAATGGCCTGTGCTGGTGCCTAAGTTTAAGGGCAGGTCGATCTTATGAGGGCCTGAAAATGGCCCTCCGTTGCAGGCTAAAAAGACTTGGGGCCTGGGGGCCCTTTTTTAGGTTGAAACGACACAGGGCCTGCAGGGCCTTATTTTCAGGCTTTCAGGCTGAAAGGACACAGGGCTTGTAGGTCCTTGTTTTCATGCTTTGAGGCTGAAACGACACAGGGCCTGAAAATGGCCCTTGTTTGCAGGCGCAACATGTAACACCCCCCCCTTCTTATGAAGTCAAGCCGGGTCGAGGGCGAAGCTGACGATATGAAGGTGGAAGGTGGAACCTGGACGCGGGTGCGACGTGGAGCGGAAGATATTGGTTTGCCTTGCATCTTGCGTTCGTAGCGTGCGAGAACATCTGGAGCTGTTGCTTGGAGTTCTGCACGGGTCAACCAACAGTCAGCTTTGTGGGTGCAATACGCAAAGTGTACCAAGTATTCGGTCGGCCTGTTGTCGTAGCGTCGTTGGGAGATGATGTCGCCGACCTCTTGAAAATCGTCCATAGAGGGTGGGTCTTGAGATCGTCGCCCGGGAAAGTCGTCATGTTCCGCTGGCGTGTAAAGAGCCAACTTGGAGCAATTAAAGACCGGGTAGACGGGCAAGTGGGCGGGCACCTGAATGATGAAGGAGGGTCCTTCGAGTGGATCCCCAACGGGTGCCACGATCGGCCAGGGCCCCATCCACTTCGGGAGGAGCTTGCGAGAGATATCTTGTTCGAGGCTGAACTCTGTGGTGGAAACCCAAACGAGATCGCCGGGGCAGAATGGACAAGGAAGACAGTGGCGATTGGCCTGTTGGCTCATGTGTTGCTGCGTCTTAGCCATGTGGTCGCGGGCCTTGACAAGTAGCTCTTGCATCCGACGCAAGAAAAGAAAACTCGGGGTCAGCTTGGTAGTCGCGGATGAAACTGTCCCGCAGATCGTCATCAATCTCGAAGGTCGAATAGACTGCGGTACAATGATCCGGACGCCTTGAAAGAGCATCCGCAAAATGGTTAGACTTCCCCGGAATGTGATCGGGAAAGAAGTCGAATTGGTCGATGAAAGCCATCCAACGGGCGATGGTGCTATTGACTGTGTCTTGGGTCTTCGAGAAGACCAACGGATTGTTGTCCGTTACCCATCGGAATTGACTTCGACCAAGGAGGAAGTGTCGCCACCGCTTGAGCGCGTGGATGAAGACTAGGAGCTCCTTGCGTGCATCATCAATGGAGTGCACGACGGGCACTTTCTTGTTGAAGTACTCGACTGCGTCCCAGTCCACACCATCGTGTTGTTCGAGGACGACACCAATACCATAGCCGAACGCATCCGTAGTGACGCGCATTGGCAATAGCAGGTCGTAGATTCGCAAGACCTCCGCGAACAATAATGTGGCTTTGAGAGTCAAGAATGATTCCCACGCATCCTCCCCGAAGTCGAACGGCCGATCCTCGCATTGAAGCTTGGTCAAGTGGCCGCGATCTTCGAGTATCCCTTGATAAAGCGTTGGTAGTAGTTGGCAAGGCCAAGGAACGAACGAACATCCGTGACGTTCCGCGGCTCCGGCCACTCTTGGATGGCTTGAATCTTGTCCGACAACGGACTGATGCCCTCGGTGTGACAAAATGGGCCAAGTATTCCAGCTCTTGTCGGACAAATTCGCACTTGTAGCAGTTGGCTTTGTACTTGGCGCGGCGGAGCGTCTCCAACACTCATCGAAGGTGCTCCAGATGATCCTCCAACGTCCGACTATAGACGAGAATGTCGTCTAAGTAGACCATCACGAACCGGTCCAACATCGCACGGAACTCGTTGGTCATTGCCGCTTAAAAGGTCGCCGGGCCATTGGTGAGGCTAAAAGGCATGACCACCCACTCAAAATGCCCATACCGCGTCTTGAACGCGGATTTATAGCGATTGTTCGGCCGGATCGAAATCTGACTATATCCCGACTTCAAATCCAACGTAGAAAAGTACTTCGCGCCACCCAATCGCTCAAGGAGATCGTCAATACGAGGAAGAGGCCCCGCATTCTTGACGGTTTGCGCGTTGAGCTTACGGTAGTCGATGCATAATCGTAGATCCTTGTTCTTCTTCCGTACGAAGAGAACTGGCGCTCCATATAGGGAGCTACTAGGGCGGATCCAACCTTTGTCCAACAAGTCATCGAGTTGGGCGCGGAGGACCGTAAGCTCCTCCTCGCTCATGCGGTATATTTTGTCATCTTTTCCTCCATGTTTTCCTTCATCTCCCACCTGGGTGTGAATCGCCACTTTGATTCTTGCTTCTTCTAGTGTTCTCCACTTTGGTTTTTGCCCTGACTAGCCTTGGATGAGTGTTTTGTCATTTTTTTTCCTTACATGTTTTCCTCCATCTTCCACTTGGGTGTGAATCACCACTTTGATTCTTGCTTCTTCTAGTGTTGTGGTCTCCCTTCTCTCTGTCTTTTCTGTTTATCTAGATGACATGATGGGTCAATTATTTGCTTTATTCGTATTAACTGTAGCTGCTGCAGAATCTGCTATTGGGCTCGCTATTCTTGTTATTACTTTTCGAATTCGTGGCACTATTGAAATCTACCCAAACCAAAACAAGTGGCCCATTTCCGCTTAAGAAAGGCGCCTAAAAAAAAGGCGCCTTAGATTAGAGAAAAGAAACAAACAAAAAAAGAAAAGAAAAAGAAAGAAAGGCACCGTATATACAACAAAGTCAGCCTTCCCTTCTTCCTTATCTGTGACTTGGATCAGTTTGTAGGCGGCAGTCGGTCGGTCTGTCTCTTTTTTTGTGGCCCAATCCCTATTGACCACTTAGCCTTGCTTTTCAGGAGGAGCACCCATTTGAGCGGGATGCTTTCTATGAGTTTGTGCAGGTGTTCCTTTAGCCTGTGAATCCCTTTGAGTTTGGATCTGAGTTCATGTTCGGTGGTCCATCTGTTTTCGTTTGGGTTCCATATGTGCTCTATTTTCCACACTCCTTTGCTCATCCATTTTCTCCACTGTCTACCTTGCGTGTCCAGGGCCCATACTCTGCCATTGTGGTCTGTGAGCAGGGGATTCCCGAAAAGTGGTTGTCTCAGAACTTCCTCTCTTATTCTTGGGGTTCTTAACTTTTGCGCAAAGCAGTTTCTCCAGTGCTTTATTAGTGTGATCCAATGTTCGCTCGGTGGGTCCTTGTCTTTCGATGTTACTCCCCTTTCCATCCTTCTTGGTGACCATGAAGGGTTGAGAATCCAATGGTATCCCTCTATGGAGGGGTCAACTCTAAATGGCACTAGATTACGAATCTGCTGGAGAGTCATTTCGTGCCAAGGCAGTTCCCTATTGAAAGGATTTTTATTATCCACTTGTGTTGCAGAGCTTGGAATTGTACTGCGGGATTCAGGAGTCCTAATCCTCCTTGCACTTTGGCTCTGGTGATGTACTTCCAGGCCACTTTGGAGATGTATTTTTCTTTTTCTACTTTTCCCGTCCAAAGGTAAGCACCTAGTTTTCTTTTGAGAGTTGAGAAAAAGCTTGTTGGTGGGTTCCAGGGAGACGCTACATACCAACCGGTTGATAGTATTGCAGTATTAAGCACCAACACTCTTCCCATCAGTGAAACGTTCGTTGCTTGCCATCCAACCATTTTGTTTGTCATTTTAAGAAGGAGACTGGTGCCTGATACATTGCTTGTTCCTTCAGTTGAGATTTGGATGCCGAGAAAGCGCATCGGTTGTTGGGCGTCCAGCAATTGCAAGCCCTGGGTAGCTTGGGTTTGCTGGGGAGGATGAGAGGAGGCGAGCCACCATCCGACTGTTTTGTTCCGGTTAATTTTCATTTTCGCTGCGAGTTGGAAGGCTTGCATAGCTTTTGTGAGGGCTTGGAAAGAGGAGTCAGAAGCCCTTATCAACACGGTTAGATCGTCCGCGAAAAGTATGGCTGTGGGTATGGGGAAAGACCTTCCGTCTTGTTGTATGGTTAGTCTTTCTATTGAAGGGTCCTTGCGGAGGAAGGCCGCTATTGCTTCCATCACAAAAAGGAAGATTGGTGCTGCGAGCCGGTCTCCCTGTCTGACCGATCTGGACATTCTGTATTTTTCGAAAAGATGTCCATTGACCTGTACCATACCCCTGACATCCCCGTATAATACTTTAACCCATCTGCGGAAGTTTGGTCCTACTCCCATTTTTTCCATGCTCTGTTGGAGGAAATCCCAGTTTACCTGATCGTAAGCTTTTTCGAAGTCAAAGAATAGTATGGCCGCTTGTACTTTTTTTTCTTTTATGAATTTGGTGGCTTCGTTTAGGGTTACTACGTTATCTAGTATGTATCTTCCCGGAATAAATCCAGTTTGGTTAATGTGGAAACATTTGTCTGTAATATTCCTTATTCTATTTGCTAAGGTCTTAGCTAGAATTTTATATATTACTGGTAGGAGAGTTATGGGTCTGTAATTTCTTATATCTGTGCGGTCGCCTTTCTTGTATATTAGCGTGACCACGCCGGTACTGAAGTCCTCTCCTATAGAGCCTTTGGCGAAAACTTCCTTAAAGAATTCGGTGACTGTGTCCCCTACTAGATGCCAGTTAGCTTGCCAAAACTCCTTGGGAAGCCCGTCTCTACCTAGGGTTTTGTTAGGTTGCATACTTTGGAGGGCTTCAAATAGTTTCGTCTTGGTAATCTCTTTTTCTAGGATTTCCGCTGATTCTTGATTGATACTTTTGTCTAGGTATTTTAAGAATTTCTCTCTTGCTTTCCTCACGCTGCCCGGATTTTCAAGGAAAGGTTTTAGACGCGTATAGGTTCTGGTAGAAATCTGACGCTACTTTCAATATACCTTCTTGTGAAGTTTGCGTATTGGCTAGGGAATCCCTTAAGGCTTGTATTGTGCTATTCCTGTGTCCTGTTTTGATCCTTTGGAAGAAATATTTTGTCATACTTTCGTTGCTTTCCCAATCCTTCACTCTGGCTCTTATGGCTAACCCTTGTCTTCTCTACTCTGCCCATTGCCTAAGCTCTGTGCGCGCTTCATCGAGTTGTTCGTATAGGCTTGCTCTTGGGTTAGATATTAGATTGAATTTTGCGATTTCCACCATGGCCTCAAGGCTTTGTTGTCTTGCCTTCCTTCTGCTAGCCTCCTTTCTTGAGAAGATACTTGCTCAGTGACTTATTTTCTTGATGGAGGGTGGGAGGTCCTTTATCAAATCTCCCTCTTTCAGTTCCCGTTTCATCCCACCTGATTTTGAATTCTTGTTTGAATGATTTTAACATGAGAAGTGAGGTATTCATCTTGAAAAAACTTTTCCCGGGGGAGTTATCTAGGGATAGAGCTAAGTTTACGTCAATCGGGTTATGATCGTATCCCTCATAATGGGGAATTCTTCCTATTGTGGTGCCTAGAACCGCTCCTTCCAAGGATTCTGATACGAGGAAGAAATTTATCCTTGAGAAGGAAGTTCTGCCCTGCATTGTTTTCCTAATACAGGTATACTCTTTTTTCTCTGGGTTAAGGATCCTATAGGGGTCTTTAAGATTATTCTCTGTGGCTAAGTGGGCCAACGCCGTTTCCGCTGGGTCTTGCAAGTTTTGTTGTGCCCATGAGATTCTGTCCAGCTGGGGGTTTGGGGTGGTGTTCCAATCTCCCACCAGAATCACGTGCTTTTGCGGTTGTATTAGACTTCCTATCTCTTCAAAAAAGGTCACTCTCTCTGCTGATGAGTTTGGGGCATATAGATTTATTAAGATGATATCTTCCCCCTTTAGTGTTAACTCCAGTTTGGTCCATCTGCCTCTTATTGGGTCTGTTACCGTTGATACTACTTGTAATTGGTGTGTAGCTAGTGCGCGATTGTGTAATAAGGTGATGACGCCTGCTGAGGCTGATTGCGGGCTGTGTGCTTGAACTGCTGCAGCGCAGTTTTTTAGTCTACTTATGATTTGTTTTTCTACTATATTGTGAGTTGGGGTGTTAGTGATATGTGTTTCTTGGAGACAGAGTAAGTCCGGGGGGGTTGGGCAATTCCAGCCTGTTGTGTCCAGAAGGCAACTCCACTTTTGCGGGTTTGTCATGACAGTTGCTAGTCCCCTCACGTTCCAGGACTGAATCACCAGGTCCCCCCTTGGTGGTTTCATGACTTATTGTAAGTGATCTTCCTTTGAGACTTGTGTTTGTCCTTTTATATCTCAGAGTTGCTGCCCGTGTCCTCCTCTAGTGGGGTGAGATAGGATGGTAGCTTGTTCTCATCCTGCCCCAGTGCACCTGATTCCAGCAATGTTGCGAGTGCAACTGCATTTTGAGTCATGGTTGTTACCCCTCCTAGGGCTGTTACTGGAAGTGCCGGCATCCACCACCATGGTTTCCACTGTAAACCTTCAGAGAGTTCTGTTCCTTGATCCAACCAGACTGTCAATGGCCTTGCATCCTGCTGTGTTTGATTTTCTCCCTCTGATTCTTTGTCTGTTTCCAAATGTTCCTCCTCTCCTTCCTTTTGCTGTTTGTCTTCAAGTCCCATGATGATTGGATTTTTCCCCTTGCTGATCTTTTTCATCACGTCTTCTCTCTTTTGACCCGGTTTCCATCTCATTACTGATAAGTCCTCATGGACTGCTATCTTCCAGTCCTCTGTTAGCAGGTCCTTTTGGACTGGAATTACCGCTCTTGATGGGAGCAGGGTACTTGCTTCTTTTTCTGGCCTCTTCCAGAAGTCTTCATGAGCCTTGTGATGCAGGTCCTGGATTGTCACTGTGCGCAGGGACATTTCCCGGTTCAGGTCAATTAACCTGTTGTTTTGGGCGTATAGTGCCTCCACCTGAATGCCCAGCTGTGTGGCTGTTGACAGCGTCCTGCTTTGATCCTCCTGCCCCTGTTGTTTCCCTTGTTCTATCAAAACTTGCAATGGTTTGTAGCTTGGCAACTTTGCCCCCTTGTTTTGATTCTTCTCCTTCGGCGTGCTTGAGATTGCATTTCCAAATCTTCCTTGGTTACAGCGTATTTTTCTGCTAACAAGGTAGCCAGTTCCTCTTCCCTTTCCAATGGAGCGAATGGATTTTCCGACAACGAGATTAGTTGCGATGGGTTGGGGCTTTCTGCATTCTGTTTGCTTTTCTGTTCTTCCCTGTGCAAAATCAACTGTAGCTCAAAATTGTCTTGTCTTAATCTTTCATAGGTCTGGATGTACTCCAACAGTTCCTTTTCCTGTTTGCCTGACCATGGGTACTCTTCCAATTCCGGGTTGCCTTGTTCCTCGTCTATGTCCTCTCTTTCCTTTTGGCCTTCCCTGTGTTTCCTCTTACCTCCCACTATCGGATATTCCCCTTCCTCCCCTTCTTTCATCAATGTCTCTAGCGCCCCCTTCCATGCTTTGATTTGTTCCCTCTGCCTCAGTCCCCTGCCCTTGGTTGGGTTTTCCTCTTCCCTTCTGTGATCTTCTGGAATATGTTTTCTGGTTGGTTTGTTCCCCCCTTGTTTTCTCTTCTTCCAGATGACGTTTAACTGCATTCACCCAATCTCTTTCTATGGTTTCCTGTATTGTTTGAACGTCTGCTCGTAAGTCTTTCTCCCAGATTTCTTGCTTCAGTGCGTTCACGTTTATCACTGGGTCTTTGATGAAGCATTTTGGATGTTTTCTTTCGGCTTTGAGTGTTTGCCATCTGCTGTCGAAGGGCGTGTACACATCCGGTCTAGGAGTCGGCTCCCCATTGATGGTCCAGACCCAGATTGTCATTGAAAACCCATGCTGCATATTGATCTTCTGGGATGTACCAATAACCTTTTTTGTTGGTTATTTCCAGAAGATTTGTTGTTTTGAGTGGCTTGGATTTTGCAGTTTCTCTTGTTTTCGGGCAGTTGGCATCTGTTCCCAGGTGACCCCTTTGTCTGCATTTGAAGCATAATGGATTGCTTTTGCTTGACACTGGTATCCTGATGATTTTGTTTTCCTGCGAAAAGAACCATTCGTCTAGAGTGAAGGGGGCTGAACAGTCTCCCGTTTCCAACACTACTGTCATCTGGTTGTGCTGTGGAGTCAGGAAATCCGGGGTTGAGACAATCCACTGTACCTCTTTGAAGTGTCTGTACTCCATTCTGACCCTCTCCTTCACGCTTCCATGCATTCCCTCTGGTACATTATCAAACTGAATCCAGAAATGTTTTTTAATTAGTTCTTGCCTGTACCTGAAGGGTGTCTGCTGATAGTTGGGTGCTTGTTTCCAAGGGTGCACTGTGACCACCGATGAATTGCAGGTGAAGCACTTGTTCTTCAGAAAATCGGCCAGTGCTTCTTCCATACACAAGACCATAATGATGTTTCTTGTCCTCGAGTGAAATGACACTTTCAGTTCCTGCCCCTTAATTGGTTCCAGTGTTTTCAGTTTTTCCCAAATCCATTTCAATTTAGCCTGTCTGTCGAGTTCCTGGCTTTTTTTGGAAAAAGTGAAAAGTACTGCATGTTTCCTGTGAAGTTCTTCTTGCTTGACTGTCAGTTCCCTCGGACATTCGTAGACCACCACTTCTTCTTTTCTGTTTCCCCCGTGGTCGATACATTTGGTGGTTTTGATCAATGTTGTTCTGGTCTGTTCTGCGTTCTGAGTTTCGATTCCCATTCCCTCCATTGCTCTGACCGGTGGTTCTTTTCTCGCTTCCTGGTTGAGTGAAGAGGTATGTGGGGGGGGGGGGGGGG